ATCAAAAATACTTAATTAAAAAAGATAGAGAGGATCCAAAACCTGGCTCTGAGGTTCATTTATTCTAGCTACTCTCGTTTTGCAAGTGTCTCTGCCCTTCGCGAGAAGGCAAATCTGGAAACACTCGCTCATCGTAGAATAATCTCTCGATTAAAGTTCATCTATCAATTGTACCATGGTCACTTCAAAATTCCACCCAATCGCTACATAACCAACCGGTTCGTGCGCTTTGACCGTATTCATCATAATGAAACAGTTAGACAACCATTCAGTCATCTGAACGTTCATCAGTACTCATTATTCCCTCATGCTCTTGCATTGTGGAACAAGTTACCTCAGGAGGTCGTTAATGCGGGCAGGACACAATCGTTCACCCGTCTCGTCAATGACCTAACACTTGATTTTTAATATGCAATATATTATGTTCCTCATTAGTGCTGAGATTTTTTTTATATCAAATATGAATGCCATTATTGCTATGTATTATTTATATTTTCCCTGATGTTGAGAATTTCCTTATTTTTGTATCTAGTATTGTATTTTCTAATATTTTTATATTCTGTTTTGTCACTGACATTTGTTACCCACTCCTGCTTGGGCCCGAACAGAGCCTGCAGTATTTGTAAATAAATAAATAAAAAGTCATGGAGGCAAAAAAATGCAGCATAAGTGCTCGCGACGCAGGCTGGCTACGTACATTACAACGGGACGGAGCTGAGAAATTGGCCTAGAGTACCCCATGCTGCCACCTAACGGAGCAGTGGTGGCAATTAGAGCAGCTTTGTGGCACATGCATTGCATTGGCAAAGCCGCACGTTTGGCTACCTGTCTATTCTACCAAACTGTGCATGACTCAGCTGTGCACGTTGTACTTTGTTGGCTTGTCAAGTGTAACTAACGAGGTCCCGCTGTTATTATAAACGTTGATGTCTAGTGAAAGTAATTTTGCTCGGTGAAATCAACTTCGCCGTGCCCTTATACGTGCGCAAGCCTGTCAGTGCGAGTGAGACAAAGGCAGGAGATCAGCTGTATGTCCACCGGTAAAGTTGCCACGGACTGAAAACATGAAAATAACACCTCTTCAGTCGGCTGAAGCTACTATGTGTGGATAGAGCTTGACTAGGTAACAACCTAGGATACATACCGTAAAAACCCGCATATAGCTCGGACCCGCATATAGTCCGGGGTGTAATTCGGGGATAGCAAACGTGAGAAAAAAAGTTTTCACCCGAATATAGTCCGAGGAAAATGGAAAAAATGCATTTATTGACATTTCATTCATCCTCGTCGTCGGACGCACTCTCTTCCGAAGCTCCCTTGTCGGAAATGTTCTCCCACAGCACATCATCCTCAGTGCCATCAAGCGCGTTGGAGATGGAGCACTTTTTGAAGGCGCGGCAAACGAGCGCCTCTGGAATGCAGGCCCAAGCCTCGACTATCCACGAGCAGAGCATCGCTGGCGAGGCCCGTTTCAGCCGTCCGGCAGGGGTCACTTCTGGTTCTCCGGACCTCATCCACTCCACGTACAGGCGCTTGACATGGTCCTTAAATGGCTTATTAAGGCACACATCAAGCGGCTGCAGCTGTGATGTCATCCCTCCCGGGATGACGACGAGCTCGGTGCGGGAGTCGCGCAGCAGTCGCTTTACGGAGTCGGCCAGGTGACACCGAAACGCGTCGAGCACAAGCATCGAAGGGAGCCCCAGCAGTGCTCCGGGCCGTCGACACCACACGGACTTTATCCAGTCAAGGACTAACGATTCGTCCATCCACCCCTTGTCCTGGCAGCGGACGACGACATTTTTCGGGAACTTCTCCCCCTTCGGCAGCGTCTTTCGTTTGAACACCACGTAGGGTGGCAGCTTGCGACCGTCAGCCGTGCAGGATAACATTACAGTCACCCGCGTTTTTTCGTTTCCAGTCGACCGCACGATAACTTGCCTGGAGCCTTTTTGATGCACCGTCAGCGCCGAGGGCATATCCAGGTAGACCGGCGTCTGATCCGCGTTGCCGATCTGGCCCAGCTGAAAGGGGACTGCCTTTCGCAACACAATTATGTACCTTTGAAAAGCCACGAGGTGCTCTTCGTAGCTCTCTGGTAGCTTCTGGGAGATCGACGTACGCCGACGTAGGGAGAACCCAGCGCGGCGCATGAAGCGAGACACCCAATGCTTGCTCGCTTTGAAATCCTCCGGCTGAATGCCTTTGTCTCGAGCGATCTCCCTTGCCTTCGCTTGTAGCAGCTCGATGTTGACAGCGAGATGTGCAGCTCGCTGCTCCCGCACAAAGTCTGTGAGTTCTCGTTCCACGTCAGGAAATGCTCCATTTTTTGGTCCGCGGAAACTTTTTCGCTGGCCGCTGCATGCAAAGAGGGCTTCCTTCTGCTTCCGCCAACCGCGAATGCTCCGCTCGTTGACTCCGAACTGCCGCTCCGCGGCACAGTTGCCGATGGTTTCGGCAGCAGCGATAACTTTTCTTTTAAAAGCAGCAGAGTACTGCCTGCGCGGTCCTGACATGGCGTAAAATCACAGGAGCAAAATCGAGGCCGTCATTATGGGCACCAAGTTGAAGCAAAGGCCACTGACCAACTGACCAGTTAAGACTAACGCCGCTAACACTACCTAGCGCAGAAGCGCGCAGACAGCTGATGATGATGATAGCACCGCGCTATGCCGAAACCGAAACTGAATTTGGGCCGAAAATTCTTGGGACCCGCATATAGTACGGGGCCGAAATTTCGCACCCTAAAATCTAGAAAAAAACCCCGGGCTATACGCGGGTTTTTACGGTATGCGCACCATCGAGGCATATGTATAAGCACATAAACTTCTAGGAGAATAAATTTTGCATTCTAAGAAGACATCCTTCTCACTTTCTACTTTTCTAATCGTCAACCTCGGGGAACACAAGTTCATATTTTGCACTTGTGGATATTTGGTGGTCGTTTCATTCGAGTAAATGTGGGTTTTTTTTAGGGGGGGGGGGGGGGGACGACGAAATCTGAAAGTTGTAAGATGCGGGGTTGGCGTAAAACTGTCGTATAACCAACGTTTTTAATACATTGTTTTCATGGAGATTTAGTTGGGACCAAATCGATTCGTCGTGAAATGCGGGTGGTCGTGAAACCAAGGGACGTATTATTGAAGTTCCACTATACTGATGTACCCTCACTAGCTTTCTTTTTTTTGTAAAGAACAGTTCTTCACACTAATTTTTTAAACTTCTACAACCTTCTTGCAACATAAGCTACAAATTGTATATCTTGAATTATGTTTAACCTCATTATTTTTTATGTTATCCACCTTTTTAAATTGTTATTTGTATAATCACTGTATAAACTTTTCAATAATAAAATGTTTTGTAATATGTGTAATAAATATATATGCAACATTTATGTTATTGGACAGAACATTCTTTCAGCTACAGTTTGGTACCAAAGAATGTAAATAAGACATTAGTATCTATCCGCAAAAAGATGTTTGTTACGCCTAGTAAAAACGGCCCCTTTTTCTGCAGTAGCGAAAGAGTTAAACTGGTAAGTTATAGTGCCCGAGAATGTGCAGACATGATGTTGATAAGAATGGTCATTTGTCCAGTACAATGGTAGGGCCACAGATGCATTTGTGTCATCGATGAGGACCACGCATATGTAATTGCTTGATAAATACGACTGGGTTGTACCAATTTTTTAAAGTGTTTAATAATACAACTGCATCCAGTCATGTCCTTCTCACTTACTTTGAACAGTGGAACCTTGTTCACATGTCTTACAAAGAAAAAAAAACACTTAAAGGGGCCCCGAAACACTTTTTCATGTAACCGCAGAATGAATTCACTGGAAGAGCTTATTGCCTCACGAATTCAACGTGGCAAACATTTTAAAAATCCATCCATTGGGAGTGGTGTTACAAAGGTTTGTCGCATGCTGCAATTGCATCCTCTCTTCTCTCGTCCCGACAAAAGCACTGGAAGCTAAGTAGGGAGGGATAGCAGAGCCACGGAAAAACGGCATGTGCACTTTGCGACCTTGAGCACTTTTTTTTTTCTTCAAATGCGCGGGTTTCTCAGTGTGATCGCGCGCGCGTGAACAAGTAGTGGTCTCTTGCGGCGATCTATGTAACGAGCGAGCATGTCATGTTCAAATTGGCTAGTGGCTGATAGATGGGTCGTTGAAGTGTGATTTGTGGGCATTTAACATGATTTGTCGAGAGAAGAGAAAGCAATTTTTAGCTGACTTTGATAATTTATTGTGAATTCCAGACCGCGTGCTGTGCTATAATATTTGGCTCGCATGTTGTCAGGAGCCTCTACTACTGATCGGGAGTGTTTTCTGACCATGCTCAAAAAGTGTTGCAAGGCCTCTTTAAGAAAAAATGCTTACTTTCTGGAATAACATACTATCTAATATAACTGAATATGTTGCAGCTTTTTCTAAAAAAGCAATGCAGTGATGGAGTGATGCAGCGAGAAGAGGAATGAATAGTGACAGGGTGGGGTTTGTTTTCAGTGCCATTCAACCTGCTGAAGCAAGTTGGTGAAACAAGGAGGAACATCAGACCTTTTATATCTTTACTCATATGAGGTTTCTTTTTGAAATTATTTAGAGAATATATTTTTTGAAATGGAATTGCAGTCATCCCAACAAGTGTTGCTAAGGTTTCATGAATAATGTTTCTGGGCCTGCTTCAATGTGGAAGAAAGGTCTATAATAATATTGCAGTTAAATATTTCTGTCATTGCTGGCTAACTACAGTGTACATGACAGAGCACAAGGTTTGGTTGTTTGGTTAGTGCCATGACTGTTGTTGTGACTGCTCTGCATTCATGCAGGATTGTAGATTCTTTACTGAAGTTAAAGCACAGCTAGGATATTAATTGGGGGCAGATTATGGGTAGTTAAGCGGAGGTGTGGGCATGTTGATGATGATGCACACTGGCTTTGGCGTGCGCAAACAGTTATTGTCTGGGCAAGCATTTAAGCTGTCTCATTTGTAATACAGGAGCTGGGAGTGGTGTCTACAAGTGATCGGTCTTTGCTGAAGAAAAAGATCAAGGAGCTTCGTTCCCAGCTGGACAAGGAGCGCAAGGCCCAAGAGAAGGAATTGCGTGCCCGTGAGAAACTCCAGCGCAAGGCAGACAAGGCAAAGCGCAAGTGAGCCCACAGCTCGTTGGCTGAGAACAGTCATGGTGGCTTTTACCTTTGTTGCCACTCTCCTTGGAGAATTCATGTGAGCTAGCGTGTGCTAAGTTCATTCCGAACACAACGAACGTCACACTCACTATGTGCATTGGGCAGCCCCAGGAATAAGCTACCTGAGAACATTCTCCTCCGGGAAGGATGTGATGCTGCATATATTTTTTTGTTTATTTCAACATGCTACGCTTTGAGGCAGTCTCTGGAACAGAGATCTTAGAGGGAATGATGGCTCATGAGTGTTCCCGTTATTGTCTTTCCTCGTTTGTTTGCTTGCACATATGGCGGAAGCCCTTATTAGTATGTAAATGCACATGCACACATATATTTAACAAACATTCCTTTTACACCAGAGTTTATGTGACGCCTATGGGTTGTAACTGATCCCCTGGCAGCTAGAGAAAGTCCCTTGTATTGTTGCTGCTGTTAAAGCAGGAAGTGGTTATTTTTTGTCCTGAACACTACCACTCCCTATTATTCCCCCACCCCCTATCCCATTGTATGTGTGTATGTGTGTAACAATTATGTTTGTGTTTCGCCCTTTTAGATATCAGTGTGTCATTTCACAAAGGTTCTTGTTTGTCCCCCATCGCTTACCGAGCTCACTCCTCAAGATGTCATTGTAGTTGTGGCTCCGTGTACCATTTTGTACATTTCATATGAGTACCTAGTATTTGTTGTGTTCTTGTTGATCTTAGTCATGTAGGATGTCATGGGGCAGTGAATGAGTGTTTTGATTCTTGAGGGCGTGCACGCAGGCTATTTCTTCTTGAATCATTATTCACTTGATTTTGCTCCCTCTGTATTCTGTGCTATCTTCCATTTGCTCCGCTCGTACAGCACTGTACTATTCCAGTGCTTGACTTATGGTAACTCGCTGTCGCTTGGCATGCGTGAAACTCAAAAAAAAGCTTGCCCAAAGTTTTGGCTATAATGTGTGGGTGCTACTTCTGTTATTGCACTTTTTGTTTCTCAATATACCTCTGTGCATATTACCAAAATTGGGGCCATTTCTTTTAAAGACAGGGTACCATGGTTGTACAATAGAACATTGCTGTTGTGAGCTGCTTTGTAGTTAACATATTGAACCATTAAGAATATACATTGTCAGCCACTATTTAAGATTTATAGGTTACTGTGGCATTGTAGCTGCTCATAATGAAATAGCTTTTGTTAACAGACCAGGTTTCAGAATAGAAACTCCAACACTTATATTGGTTGGTGGTAGTCTTTTTTTTTTTTCTGCCTATTTTCCAGCTCACATATTTTAGAACACAATAATGTGTAAGGAGCAATATTCATTGTACTGATGCTGCAAGTGTCAAGTAATAAGTTTGCATTATGTGCAGACTTGTAGAGGAAGTGTCCTCCCAAATTGCAGGTCAAGTGGCATTAAGTACTGAATATGTTGCATTGAAATTGTACCCTATAGTTAAATGCGGGATACAACATGCACTTTAAGCCAAAGCATACAAGAGAGCCTATATGGTCAGCGATGGACACACTCAAATGGCTTAGCTGCATTGCTTAAAGTATGCTGCTTGCAAAATTATTTTTTCCTCGAGATAGCTGTTGTAAGCCACTGCAGGCGAAAACATCTGCACTCTCACACATGTACCGTACAAATGAAATTAATGTGCAGCTTTGTTTTTAATGAAAACTGTGAAACTTTACATTTGTGTTCTTGTCGCAGGGTACTTTCACCTCAAGTGGAGGGGGAAAAAAAACGCTTCTGTTGTAGTGAGAATACCGACATGTTGAAGGTGTCTTTTGCCTAATGAACTGTACATGCTACAGCAGTGTTCTACTGTACTAGTATTTAATCTATGCCAGATGCTTTGCAGAAGCTTTTATTTAGAGATTGCAGAAGTTATGGTGTATTTTACCCATGTTATAATTTGTGAAGTAGAGCTGTTGTTTCAGGGTGGCCGAGTGAATAGCTCAGTCCTGTCTTTCCCAGGTAGAGCTGCATTTGATTGCATGAATTATCATGCAGAATACCAGTCTATGAGAATTTGTCTTGTGTTGCATTACTGGCAACTGCTATGCACTTTTTTAACTATGTTGACTGCTCTTCTTTCTAACTGTGCTGGTTGTGAAACTGAAGGTGCTGGTTTTATGACAGAATTTGCAGTATGTTGAGTAGTACTTCACAACCTCAAAGACTTTAGCTGCAAAAGATTTTAAGCAATGTTTATCTATGCTGATGGTATTCACTCATTCTTATTGTTTTGTTTTTTTTTTTCATATGTAAACTTGTGGCATTTCTGCATTGCAGTCATTAAAAAAAGCCATGGGCAATTCATACACTGCCTTTTTGTATATTATATTGAACATGTCACATTTTCAGACTGTCAAATGTCTCGGCTCATAGCTGTGTGTGTGGAGTGTGTGCAAGTCTCATGTGATGGGACTTGAGCATAATTGGGCTAAGCACAATGTTTCTATGAGTTGCTATCTAACACATGGAAATGGATGCAGATTGGATTCGATGAATTAAAACATACTACCACTCTTACTAAGGCAGTGAGCCGCAGTATAAAGGCTATCTGAACTTGATTCAAGTTGGCCATTATTTAAACTACTGGCTTCAAACTACTGTTATGTTATTCTAGCTTTAGCAAAGGATGATTTGTTGGGTGTCCCAGCCGATAGCAAACGTGTAACAGATGGCTTGGCCTTTAAAACTTCAACCGTATTGTGCTATGCTGGTGCTTTTGCATTCAATATATTTTGTAGCTTTTGAATGGTTTTTCTAAAGTATAGGTTATAGACTGCTGAATGTGTACTTTCATCAAGGGGAAATGCAGAAGTGAACCAAACCTTTGATGTTTGGCCCTTTGTCACTTCTGAGGACCCTGCCACTCATCTCTTTCAAAGATGATAGGCTCCTGGCATTTCTGACTTTGCTCACTGTCTCTTGACAGATGAACTGCCCTTCTCTGATGCACTTGACTAATTGCTGTAGGTTGCTGGCAGAGCATCAGAATGTTAAGAGAAGCCATTTACTGAGACAGATGGGTGTCCCTGTGTAACGAAAAAGAAGTCTTAATATATGTGTGTATGAAAAAAAAAAGACTGAAAAAAGAAGTTTAGCAGTCACGGCTGGCGATAAAGGTAATATGAGTGTGGTGGTGTGGTGATGTAACATTTTAATGAAGTACTGTTTGACTAGCCTGCAATAAGAAATCTTTTTCCAGTCCGGATGGAAAAACTGCTTTGTAACTTTGCCAGTGGTCCTGAAATTGCTCATTTGGTGCAACACAATGTTTTGTCACACTGGCAGATTGGATTATTAATGAAATAGGCATATGCCAGAATGCTATGAACCTGAAACAACCAAGGTAACTTCAGAATGGTGCAGAAGGTGCATAGGTTCATGCTAGGTTTCTTTTGCTCAAAGCATCTAGAGAGCACATGAACAAATGCTGAAGTGTAACTCCAGCTTTCCTGTCGGTTGGCTCTCATTTTACTCTGCAGGTCCTCGACGCTTGCGTGACAGTTTTGTGTACTTGCTGTGATAGCACCTAAAAACTTGGATGTTTTTCATTTTATGTTTACAAATACACATACTTAAAGTGATGCTCGAACTAAAATCACTTTTTTTTTTCTTTTTTACCAATATGTGCATGCAATGCACACGTATGCCGGTAGGAGTAGTGCTTGTAGTGTTGTAGCACAAGGTCTGCTCTTTCATTTGGAAGGACTTCAATAGTAGGCACAGACCTTGATGTATTTTGTACATGTCATCTCTTGAAGGCTGCATATGTCATGGGGTTGTGACTGGGGTTATCAAATTTGCTTGAATAAATCGGGATGATGACAGTACAGCAATCACAGCTACCTTGTGTACACATGCACACACAAGTTTTGAATAAGCAATTAACATGAATCGGAAGGAATTAAACTAGGAAGGAGCATTACATCATGTAGCTAGCCTTTGGAAATCAATTCTTCGTGGTGCCATTCTCTTTGCCTCTTTCGAAACAGTCAGCTCATACAAGGTCTTGCTTGGCGAGCTTGGCTTGGTGGGCTTGGTTCCCAGTTGGCTTTAACTGCCAACCACGTGTTCCAGTCCTTTGCCAACCACTCTGTGCGAATCCCCTTCCCTCCTATCTGTAATCTATTTCCCATCTGCCAGCATAGGTTAGCTAACCATAAGCTTTTCTGGTTAACCTTCCTGCCTTCTGTCTTTTATTCTTTCCCTTCTCCAGGTGTATCCACAATACTAACCGTGTGCTGACTCTGAGGGCAAAAGCATGATGGTGGAAGACACCAAAAACCTACTCTAGAATGCGCATGTGTAAAACCAACTTGCGTGATATAAGTCTTGCAGTGCTCCCTCCAAGTTCTTTCCTTCTTCCATGTTCACATACTTCTAGAAGATCTTGTTTTGACTTTGGATGTAAACAGTGATGTTTATTATTGTAACTTCTTTGTGAAGATCGAGGTGCTAGGGCTCATGATAGGTATGAAGACAAAAAGTTTAATATATTTGTGTGCCCCATAATGACTAGAGGCACATTTGAAATTGTGCATGTCTTTGTTTTAAAGAAGGCTTTCACTGATATAAAAGGCCTGCATCTTGAATAAATTTTCTATAAAAAATTTGCATTGTGTAGTAAATTATGTAGCTATGAACTCGTATGATCTGAGTTTGAAGAAATAAAATTGTGGTTTTTATGCAGTCATAGCATGACTTCTTCTTTTTGCACGCACTGTAGCTGGGCTCAGATGGGTGATGGCCGACATTTAAATTTTGGCCTGAAAAAAAGATTGTGTATGCAGAAGTACAAAGCTCATATCTTTCAAGTACTAGTACGGTGTAGCACAGAAATGAGCTTCTGTACTTGTGCTACTGAAGTGCACGTCTAGTTTTGGAACTTTGTGCACTGTAGATGCTAGTTCAGTTGCTGGTTTGTTCTGCTTCTTTCGACATACGCATTTTCCAAATAATGAGTAGCAGGAAGAAAGTTGTGGTCACACAAAAAAAGGCAAGGATTGTGTTAACTACAGTTCTCACCAAAATGGCATGGTACATTTGGTTATAAAGAAGGTTAAGAAATTCGGATCTTCACATTTCCCCTAGACCTGCTTATAGTTCTCATAAGCAGGCCCAGGGAAAATATACGGATGTGCTAACGCCACTACCCTAAATTTTATAGACTTGGTGCCAATTTATGACACATGATACTCATGAAGTCTTTTTGAGCTATTAGTACTGTTCTCTTGTTTTGAATAGACTGGAAAGTTTAATTATTATTGAAGGGAACTATATGAACTACTGTTCCTCCAATTTGACATTCACACAGCCAACCTTGATACTCAGCAATGAGCCACTCTTGTTTTGTTTGCATCTAGTTGAAGCTAATGTGGAGCTGTATGATTATAGAGCCTCTTTGTGCCTCATCAAATCAGTTGCACTGAGATGAACATGGAAGTAGCAAGCTTGAATAGCAATGCATCTCATTTGAAGAATAAATGTCATTAGATTGCTCTTTGGGACATGCACTGATTTATTGTTATAAGCATGGAGCATTTGTGCATTTATTATCAATTTCCATCAGAAACTGACTGAACAGCGCCTTCCATGGACAGTACATGCTGGTACTAAGGGCTATACGTCGTCTGTCGCCACTGGTGGGGGTTCGTTATGTGTAGAGCGCATGTATACGTGGACGGCCGCTCCAGGTACTCTATTTGCACCGTTTTTTCGTGTTGCGAGCGCAGCCAGTAGAAGCTCCCACCTGCTGTGGGGGCAAGAGCCGTGCGCTGATCATTGCCGCGATAGCCCAACACGCTTGGACAAGTAGTGGCCTCACGCGGCGATCTCTGGAACGAGTGAGCGCGCCATGTTCAAATCCCCTAATGGCTGATAGATGGGCTTGCTACGTGTGATTTTTGGGTATATGGCGTGATTTATCGAGAGAAGAGAAAGCAATTCTTTCTGACTGATAATTTATTGTGAATTCCAGGCTGCGTGGTGCGCTATAATATTTGGCTCACAAGTTGTAGGGAGCTTCTACTACCAATCGGCAGCGTTTTCTGGCCATGCTCAGAAAGTGTTGCAGGGCCCCTTTAAAGTAAGCAATTAATTTGGTCTGAGCATTCTAAGACTTACCACATTTCAAATTTTCTTGTCTAATAAAATGTCCTATATGCACTTTCTTGTTGGTTATTTGCATTCTGCAGCTTATGTACAACAATATGAACCATTAATGGCTCAGAACCATGAAAATTTACCGTAAAAAAGTGTGCACAAAAAGAACTATATTTTATGCATTGTCATGGTATGAAACCATAAGCATGCAAGTTACTATAAAACTGATTACCTATTTGAAATGAGCATAAAATCCTATGCTTACAGCAAACATTTCATTTTCCTGGGCTACAGATGGAAGAAACTTTTTTTTTTTTCACGCAGCATCTCCTCTTAAATTTCGTATCATTCAAATGTTAGCAAAAATGAATTTCTCTTGCATGTTTCTTGGTTTGTATGGTCTGCTGGCTTCATTACTATTGCTATTGTTGCAGTCACGCACAAAAAAAAATGATAAAAAATGTTCAACAGTATATATATACACACACCCATGAAGTGAAGATTGTGTGACACAAGACATGCAAATTTCTGCTCAATTAATGTACAATCATTCCAATATAATGAATGACTGTTGGCCACAGCTCCTACTACAGGCTGAAATTTAAAAGGCTGTACATTCTTGAACTGTGTGAGAATGCTGCTTTTTCACAATTATCTTGTCCTGGGCACATTCGTTCCCATAGCATACATGGCATTTTTTAGATGCGGAGCATCTTATACTCGCGCCTTGTAGTGCGCCGTCCGCACCGCTTCTCGAACATTCGACAGCTGACGCGCGCGCATGCGCCGTCGCGCCGTCGCCCACTCTTCCACCATCTGTGCATCCCTTCCTCCTCTACACACCGCGCGCGCTTCACTCCTCCACCATCTGTGCACCCTTCCTCCTCTACACACCGCGTTCGACATCTACAATTCTCCTGATTCTCCAGTGGACGCGCATGTGGTGTCGCGCTTCGAGAACATTCAACAGCTGACAGTGCATGCGCCGTCGTGCTGTATATATACTCAAGGTCGGCGCTCGCTCGCTCAGTTGCCGCTCGTCGGTTGGTTTGTACGGCGCGTCGACGTCCAAGGTCGCGGTGAAATGAATTCCAACTAATCCACTAACACAATGATCGACGTCCCTTCGACCAGCGCCGCCCTTTCGCATACGTGTGTACGTGTTCACTCATTTAACACCCCCTCCTACAACCACGTTAACCAATTTAGCCATCGACCCAAGTAAGTCGCAATTTAACACCCCATTTCACAACCACGTTAACCAATTTAGCCATCGACCCAAGTAAGTCGCACTTTAACACCCCGTTAACCAATTATATGGTCCGCATCCTCCTCAGTGTTCCCCCGAGGGAAGCTGCGGGCAATTTTTTTTTACAATGGTTTACTCTATGGAAACACTGAAAATTTTCTTGCAGCTTAAATTTCAATGTTCAACAAACAACTTCACTTCTGCTACACAGTACATGTGTTCACATGCATACTGATATTCATTGGCTGTATCACGGCAAAATGTGTCGTCAATAGGAACATGCACACTCACACAATGTCAGTCTGCCGCATAAAAAAATACTTTTATTTGCTGCATAAAACAAAGTTTCACACTTGATAAAAATATCTGAAAAGTTTTTGCTGTCAGCTTTGTCTCAGACATAAGACCCAACAAACATCACATTATTACTTTGCTGCAATCAACACTACATTTCATGTAATTGTACATGAGGGCAAGAATTTTATGACTCTTCATTTGATAGCACCAGAAATACCTATGTCACCTTTAATATCAGAGCCAAATTTGTGATTTAGGTTAGTGACAAACAATGTTTATTTCAGCCTGTGTGCGAAGACATTAGCGAGTATGGTAAACTATGCGATGTTTAGCACATCGTCAATCACATTCCAGCTGGAAGTAGCAGAGAACAGATGCATATCTCCCTTGCATGTTGCCAACTATACTTTTATACTGTGCACTTTGAATGCCCATATGCAGCATTTTTATTTGCTCATGCATAAAGAAAGGACAACGACAAATATTTCATGCATATTCAGTACTCAAATTTATATAGAATCACATGTGTGCCAGATACAGCACCACATGTGCTGCACAGTTGAAATGTTTTGTACTTGACATAACAAAAAACACAAACTATGTAATTTACAATCAACGCTGTTATAAAAGAACGAGCACAAGTTTTTCTCGCATGTATGCATATCACCTTTGGCAAAAAATGCAATGATTCTTTAGGACGTTTTTTTTTTTTTTTTTCAAAGAATACCTAGTTGCTCAACACACGAACTTAGGACACTGGGAAAGCAATGACTGCACAAGCTGCACTGTGAAGGGGATCATCAGGTTGTACGTGCATCACAGTCTTTTGCATCACATATAACTTCAAATCGTGGCAAGTTTCTGCCACGTGCAATTTAATGTTCATTTTGCATTGAACCACATCTGAAAAAACATACGAGCAGAGAGACAAAAGGGTGAATTAACAGTGCACACATATCGGTAGATATTATAAGGGAGACTTAAAATATAAACAATTGTATGTGCTGCAGTACATTTTGCAATGCCTCATGTAGCTCTTCATACACTATGTCCTGGGACCTGTCCCCGACGGCGGCAGAGAGCCATTGTTATCATATTAGAAACAAGATGCCTTGTACTATACTGCACACATTCAGTATATAGCATGTCTGATGCAGACAATGAAACCTTTTTAATTGGACAAAACTAGGCCAAAGTTTATTGCTCTAAGCACCAAATACTCATGCCCTAATACCAACTGTTTTGGCTGGGTCTTGATGCTGACATCCGTTCGTCAGAAGTATGTATACCAGCAACAGAGTGACCCACTCATGAATTGTCTAGTATCTAAACCTGCGCTGTACAAGTGGGCGTCAACATTTTTTGAATAGGTAGGAAAATCATGACTTAGAGTTTCGGATGCATTAAATATTTAACATTCTAAAGGTGAAACTTCCATGTGGCACAACAATGCTTAAAGAGTTGACAAAGCTCGGTACAGTTTTTGCAAGGTATGCAAAGCTATTGAGGTGTGCACCAAAAACGGTCTGTAGTTTGTGAATCACGAGTTTTCATTGTTTGAAAAGTCTGATTTTGAACGCATTATGTCCAGCCCACGGAAAAGAGGGGTTCGAATTTTACAGCACTGAACCTCAAGACTTAGTTTTTCGCCGCTACTAAAAGGCTAGGTTGTCGAAGTATGATGAGACGCATGGTCATCTAAAGCAAGATTCTTCCTGTAACTGATCAACCCAAGTTGTACCAGGCCTCCACCAATGACAGCAGCGTCATACAATGCAACCAACATCATCTCGGGTCTACAGCCAAGTCTTTCACAGTATTGGACTTAGAGCTGGTGACATCTCGAACGACAGCCACGTGGATAGGTACCCTTGCGAGGTCTAACCACAGGAAAAAAAAAGAGCGCCAACTACTATGCCGTCTACACGAGAACCAAAATCGCTGTGTGAATAAAGGCAACCATGACGGTCAACATATGATGAAGATTTCATGCAAGTTATGCAAACTCATAACGTTCATAACTGCTTACAACTACTTTTGTTTGGTG